GGTATTCGGCTTCTTCTTCCATCGCTGTTCAACCGGGTCAACCTCGACCGGCATAGCATTCGCGACCTTCTTGAACGTGCCGTTTGGATACCATGCTCCAACGATCGCCTCGCACATCGCACTCGGATAGAGAGCAGTCGTCGGGGTGACCGACCCCTCAATGCGTGCATGAAGGTATCCCTTCTCGTGCTTGCATTTCCGACCTGACAGCTCATCAATGAGCTCCTTGGAGGTCGTCGCAACCTTCCACTGCTTCCTGATCGGCACACCGTCCTTATCCTGCATCCCGAAATCACAGCCGTCAAAATCTACGGTCTCGACATCAGGATCAGCAAGAAACCTCTGCATGAACGGCTGCTTCCATCCAAGACAGTGTCTAGGCCACTCAAATGCAACCCTGCCCCCTCCTCGCCTAACGGCTCGGGAGGCCCGCAGGAATGCCGCAAACATAACCTGAGAATTTCTTCTGAGATCATTCAGGTGTGATGCAAACTCAGCACCGTGGATCGAAAGGTTGACATACTGCCATGTACTCCACGGTCCGCACGGAATTGACGCCCAGAGGTCACACCCAGGATTATCCTCGATGATCTCAATAAGCCGATTAACGTCTTTGGCTTTGGTGATGTCGAATGAGCCAACGTGAACGCGAATTGCATCGCCTCCACACTCCATCATCACTGCGGACAGACGCGAGTCAGGTTCACACGCAAACTCGATGAGGAGCTTGCGGCCAGGCGCTGGAGCAGCCGGGTCCCTCTCAGGATGTTCGCGACGTCGTTCTTTTCTTAGGGATAACTCCCGTTCGGTTTGAACATATATCTCCCGAGACCGGGTAGACATCTGTCTCCAACTATCCGCATCAATTGAATTGGGTTTTCCGGTGCCTGCGTATGGCCGCTCACGCCTATCGGCGGATTGGCCATAGTCGATCCTGTCTCCGTGCAGCTTATGACCCTTCTTCGGACCTCCGGCAGGTTTGGCTCCTTCTTCCTTTGGCTTGAACCTACCGTGGGGAGCACATCCCTTATCAAATAGGATGGTCACGCCAGTCCAAAATCCACGCGTGAAATGCCGATGGTTGGGAGCATCGTGATGACGATCATCTCTCGCCCAATTTCCAACGGCATCAAGCCCCCGCATGTGTGTGACCCTAACGGTGTCAAGCTCCTCATGCGAAGGACCACCTGGAGGAAGGTCCTCGTTCGTCGTCCCGAAGAACTTCTTCCGCACCTCAACGTGGATGCGATACCAGGCGCTGTCCTCGTCGTGCCGCTCCCAGTAATCTGAGACGCACGCGTCACCACTCCCTTGGACAGCCTTGCTCTGAATGGCCCCATCAGACTTGGAAGAGCTACCGCCCCCCTCGTCCTGTTGGTCATCGTCATCATCATCAGGATCATCAAATCGACCTTCATCAAAGTCGAATTCATCCCTGATCTTCTTACTCGGCTTAAGGTCGGCCCTTCGGTCAGCTAACGCCTCCCGAATGGTCCGAGTCCTAGCATCATAGGATGCCAACATCGGGAACACGTAGGGCTCCTCAGGGTTCTTCCAGATACGTTTGACCTGGTGTATACTTGGTTTCCTGAGACCCCTTTGGATGTGCTCGAGATCAGCAACGAGATAGTCGCCCTTCCACAGGCCCCCTGGTTCTAACCGATAGCCCATAAATAGGCCTGGCTTGGACGATGGAGCGAACTTTGGATCTTCCTCTATCTTGATGAAGTCCCGCTCTTTCTTTTCGGCGGGCAGGGCAGTAGTGACGCTTGTCTCTTCAACCTCTACCTCATCAGTGAGAACAAAGTCCGGTTCGTCATTGCATTCGGGCTCGTACTCCTCGTTATCATAGATCTCGGCCTCGTCCTCATCGATCTGATCGAAATCACAGTCGAAATGAGTTTCTCCAGTCCATTCGTGGTTACCTCCACGGTCGTTTTCGGCCTGGAGCCAGTTTTCGTCAACAACGAATTCGGTCGATCCGTCCAGATAGTTGAGGACTGTGCTCCGCCTCCTGCCAAGGTCTTTGATCTTGACTGGACAGCTCGTCCCTATCGGGATAAAGAGCTCGGTTCGCGCTTCAACGTGGACGCGAGTGAGAACCTTCTCGTCTTCATTTGCGATCCAGTGGTCTCCTCCTTCATCAACGTCCTCTGAGTCGATCTTTCCAGCATGTCTGAAGTCGTTTTGGGCGTTTTGAACCCCCCCCTTTCTATCCCTGCGAATCTTGGGAGCAATGGGGTAGAAGTCGACCAGACAACCAAACGGCAGAATGACTCCGCTGAAGTTCCCGTCACCGTGGCGTCGCATCCACGGTGATCCCTCGCCGCGATTCCTTGCCATGGAAAAATGCCTAACGGCAAATGGCCACCATCGAGGTTCAAATCCAGCTTGACGCAGGAGCACACGTGCCCCATGAAGAACGAGCTTAACCTTGTTCTCGATCAGACCATTGGTCTTGGGTGGTAAACTCCACTTGCGCGATGGGGGCTTGACCAGGTATATGTGTAATTATACACCAAAGGATCCCCGAACCGCTCCGCAGTTCCAACTGCACCCTACAGGCCCCCACAGGGCCTGCCAGAGAGGGCTGCCGGGCTGAAGTCTCCAAGAACACGGCCCAAGTGGCCAGTGACCACTGCAGTGACCACCCAGTGGCCCGGGCAAGATTCTGGATTCAGGACACTGGGAATTCTGATCTTGATGCAGCCTGACCTGACTCTAACATCCTCACTCAGATTCTGGCCATCGGCCCTCGACCCTCAGGAAAACAGAAACAGTAACAATAACAAATTGTGAATTGTTACTAACATTTTGCACAAGGGTTCACAAGAAGTCGGGTGACTGACGGTGACTGAGTAAGCAGTGAGCAGCACCAATTGTTTCAGTTTCAATCAATCGATGTCTTGTTCGAACTAGTTCTTGGCATCGTTGTTACCAATCGAGAAATAAACACAATTTGAACGGGCAAATTGGCGAAAAGGGTAAGAAATTGCCCGGCTGCCAAATCATTCGAATCGTGTCAAAAACTTAGTTCATTTAGTTCTGCACCGAGCCCACCCCTGCAGCCCCCGGCCCCAACCCCCAAGCAATGCAAAATGCAAAAGTACAAGTGTTCCGGACAACTGGATAACTCTTCGACTCCTCTTTAATTGACTACTCTTCAACTCTGGACAAACTGATGTCGATGGTTGATCAAGTTGATCATTGAAATGGGCAAGTTTGCTGAACCGGCTGACAGTGCTTTTTCCAGCGGTCAATCTATCTTACATCCTTCTGACATGGCTGCCACGGCCGCCATGGCCCGTTTGGGCTGGCAGCAGAAGCATCGCCTGGCCACGCAAGGACTGGGGTAGCCGGGGTGTGGGTTGAGTTGAGACCCCTTTGGGCCTTTGGGCCCCTTGGCCCCTTGACTCATTTACTCACATAGGCTCACATGCATGCTGTCAGCGTTAGCTTTGCACTTTGTTCACACGCGCACCTCACTCGATCAGGCTTTTTAAAGAGGCCTTCGGCTATTGGGGACCTTGCAGTGCAGTCGCTTGCAATCGCACGGCTGCAGCCTTGCAATCGCACGCGCTAATTCAATGTAGCAGTTGTGGTTGTGGTGTATGCCGCGTATGCCGTGCCTACGATGTTCCACCTCCCCGCCAAGCTCAATCAAAAAGTAACGGATACACTGCGTAGCTGTTGGTCAAAAGACTTGAAAGACTTGGGAAGTTGGGAAATTGAAAACTGAAAAGCCAAAGCTGCTGAAGCCGAATAACTGGGTTGAGTTGAGTTGTGTTACCTGCTGGGGAAACTTGGGAAACTACAACTGCCACAGGCAGAGCCAAGCTGTCAACGTCCTTGCCACTTTCAGCAGCACTAGGCTCACATAGAGGCATACCCAGGCTGCGCGAAACGAGTGGCCCCACATGGACGACAGGCAAGGCTGCCCTTTTCACATTTCTGACGCTACCGAACTTCCGATGCATGAGTAAACACGCGTGTGTCCACCGCCGCCGCCCCCTACAAACATTTAAACATGGCCTAGCAACAGTGACAAGTTCAATCAACCAAGTTCAACTTGAACCTCGACTCGAGTCTGTTGTTGCATAACAAGTCGACTTTTGAAAGTATGAGTCAAGTCTGGGTGTGAGTATGAGTCTGAGTAAGTGGGGGGTCAGTCAGTTACAGGCATGCTCAGCTCAGCACACTATGCCAAAACCTTGAACATGGAAAACAAATGAACAGCAGTCTCAAACAAGCTCAAATCAGCGCAAAAGATGCGCACAATGCTTGGGCGCGTTGCACCTTTGCAAGTTGCTTGTTTCGACAGCATCCTCTTCTTTTTGAGGAGTCGGAGTCTGTTCATCCAAACGCCGCGCCAACGCAAGCCCTCCAATCGGAGGCTGCATTGACGGGGCTTTAGCACCTTTCGCAGGTTTCTTTACCGCGCTGGCTTCGTCCTTCAGATTAGATCGCGTGCACAATGTCGGTGGGGATGTCGCAGTCGGCTTGGGCTTCTTCAGGATTGCAGCGATCGCCTTGGCTGCCATGGCTGTCAGGCTGTCTGTCGTCAGTGAGTCTATCAGCTGTGTGTCGTCTGTCGTGTGAACATGGCATGTTGTCAAAAATTTCGATTAGTTCTAGACGACTCTAGAATCATCGAATCATCGACCGTGGATCGACTGTATCGACTCTATCGCCTCGCTGTATCCGTCTCCGTCTCTCTCAGCGGTCTCTGTCTCTGCGTTTGTGCGGTTGCGCGGTGTGTCTATGTCACATATGTCTGTCTGTCTGTCTGTATGAATGTGTCTCTCTGTCACTGGTCACTCTGAGTCAAGCTGTCTATTAACAGTCTAACAGTCTAACAACCGTGTCTATGTGTGTGTGTGTGTGTGCGTCACTGTCTGTGTGTGTGTGTGTCAAAGTGTGTCTCTGTCATGGAGTCATGGAGTCATGCAAGCAAGGCGCGTCCGGCCGGAGCTCGACAAACATGCAGGTCAAGTCAACCTTCACGTCGGCGCCTTGCCTTGGACAGCTGGGAGGGGCACCCTCCACACCCCCACCGGGCCCCCCCACCCGGGCCCCCACCCCCCACCCTCTGGCGGGCCACTCCTCCGTTTGTGTGCGGAGGGGGGCTCTCCACAACAAGGGCGGCTATGAGGCCACGTCATGTTAATTTGGCAATGAATGAATATGTCAAACAACCAGACTGCGGGACTAACATTTCTATCCTTCCTTGTGGGTCCAGGAGTCCCAGGTCCAAGGCACGTGTCTTGGAATGTCTTGCTGATGGTCTCCGTGCTGGACAAACAGCATGCCTTCTGCGCCTCAAACCCATTCTTCATCATCCAGAACGGGTGTGGCAAGAGCGAGGTCTGCTTGTTCCAGCCATCGCCATGCATGTAGTAGGATATGACAAGCCCGTTGGGGAAGACTGCATCCGCGACCTGTCTCCCACATGCGTCAATGCCAATTCCGTGTCTCCCGCAATTCCGTTGGCGCCAAGTGAGTCCACGTGACTGTCAACGCAATGCTGCAATGAGTCAATGAGTCCAATGAGTCAGTCTGCATCATAGAATCATAGAATCATAGACTCTAAATCTATATCTTATTACTTATCTATCACTGCACTCGACTCGGTCACCTTGCCTCACGCCTAGCACCGCCTAGCACTTAGCACCTACTAGCGCCGAGCCCGGCCTTGAAGTTCTTCCACGACGCTTCGGTGGTGACTGACCCGCACACGTGCAGTCGCCGTTCACTCGCAGCATCGGGGTGGAGCATTCTCTCAAGTGCGCCACTCTCATGTTGGTTGAACAGCTTGTCCACCGCCAAAACCGTCAACGTTCCCTTCGTGTCTGCCTGCAGCAGCTCCAACAGCCATGTTGGGCCGGCCCTGGGCAAGATTTGGACGGCCCGAGACCCAAGACTGCGACGCGACAACGTGCAAATGAAATGTGCTCTGACTCCATGACTCCATGAGTCCCATCGAAATCTAGTCAAATCACATTCTGGCAGTCTGAGTGCCGCACGCAACTTTTGCCAAGAAGAAGTTCTCGATCTGCCTCTGAATATGCATGATGTCGATGACACGCATTTTGCCAGAGCCAGATACAGCTGTAGCTGCTAGGGCCGGGTCCGCCGCAGCAGCATCGGGCTTGACATCGCACAGGCTGTAGATATCCGCGAATGAAGGCTGGCCTGCATTGGCTCCCTTACCGGATGCAGCTTCTGTGGCTGGTTTTTTTTTTTTTGTCTGTTTGCAGTAATGTCAACCACATCACTCGCGGCAGCCTTTGACTCTTCCTCCTTCACATGCCCCGCTCCTGCAGCAGCCAAACCTTTCACACCCTGGCCAAATATCTTCACTGCCTCTGGGAACATGTTGAGGCTGATTTGTGGCTTCTCATTGCCCTCCATTGTTTGGCTGACTTTGCGTGTCACCATGGTAAGCACCTTGGTCCATGCGGCTGCCCACTCCTCGCACCGATCATCACTTGCCCCATGCGGGCCCAAGTGAAAAGCGCCCTCAGCTTCCATGATGTACTCCACTATCGCAGTATCGCCGCTGCGCAGCGCATCCAATGTGATGTCCAAGGCCTCTGCCTTGCAATCAGTGAATCGGATCAAAGCGTCTGGCCTTGACCCGTGCGTTCTCTTGATCATGTTCCTCGCGGCCTCAAGCAAGTAGGATGCCCTGCAGGTCACCATTGAAGTCACAAGATGCTCATTGAGAACGTACTTGTCCTTGCCGTCTGATCCCTTGACAGATCGCAAGAGGAACTTGGCAGGCTTACCAAGCAGCTGCATGGGGCATGGCTCCTTCTCGGAAAACTCTTCCCCTGCTTCCATCGCCTTCTGCTTCCGGGCTGCGTATGCTGTGTACTCAACCTCCAACTGCACCAGAGCGCTAGCACCGAGCATGGGAACAGCTGTCGGCACCACTTCGCTAAATTTGAGGCAGTTGCAGAGGCCCCACACGTAATCCGCGATCGTGTGGTCAGAGTCGTCATGGAAAGGGCAGCTAGGAGTGTCCCAAGCTGACGTATCACAGGTGCAGCCGAGAACGGTCACTCGCAAGTCGTTCATGAACTTTGCAAAGGCAGGGTGGTTCACAACCTTCTTGTCATTGTTCAAGACAACAAACCCATCGCATGCTTGGGCAATGGCAGCGTTGCCCAAAATGTGAGCAACTGCTCTGGTGATGGCATCGGACGCTGTAGGCTGGCGACCCTTGTTGGAGGGCTTTGAGCAGCCGTCTGACGATGCGGTGCCAGCCGCAGCCGCACGCCCGGAAGCAGCAGCCAGCTCCTGCGCTTGGGACTCTCGCAGCAGCTTGGCGAAAATGTCATCCACCCCTCCACCCGGAAGGGAAGACGATTCCTGAGCAATGGCGCCTCGCGCCAATGACTGCAGCATGGGCCGCACCTATGGGCGCGGACGGTCTATGTCACATGTCTACAGTCTAGAGTCTAGAAGAGTACTATAGTCTACAGTCTACAATCTACAGTCTGCAGGCTAGGCTAAAAATTGCAAACCCTACCGACTCTACTCTACAGGCTGTCTACAATCTAGAATCTAGAGTACACTGCAGTACAGCCTCCAGTGGTAGCCTCCAGTCTCCAACCTACATCAAATCTATAAGTCTATAGACTAAGACCAAGGTCTTTACCAAGTCTTTACCCTACGTCACGTCCTTAGCGTGCTTACCATCCCCACAACACCTGCTACCCTGATTCTCTTGTTTGCACAGCCAGCCTTGCTCCAATCCTTCATGAACTTGTTATTGATGGTGATGCCATTGCCAAAGGCGAACCGCAGCGCAAGGGAGATGGCGCTGGCAATGATGAGGCGGGGCTGTAGACCTCGAACTTAGTCTCATTCATGCCCGTCGCCTTCCTGACGGCAGTCAAGACATCATCCAGCCATTTGCGCTGTCGCTGACCACCAGTCATTGGCATCACAATGTCAGCCTCAAGATCTGCAGCTTGCTCCTCCTCTCCATCAGCTGCAGCCGCGTTCTTCCGAGCCTTGAGTGATGCAGACTTTGCTTTCGCTTTTGCCTTCGACTTGGGTTTTGGTCGCTTCCCATTGGGCTCCTCAGCATCAGCAGGTTCCAAGTCGGGCGCGCGCGCCCTCTTCTTTGAAGCCGCTTCAGAAGGCTCAGGCTTGCCAGGGGCAATCTTGCGCACAAAGATGGCGCCGGCCACGATGCAGTTCAGCTTTTCCTGCGCCTGCGCCATGAGCTGTGACTCACTCCCTCGGTTGAAGACGTAGAGCGGCCTTGACGCCAAAGCCACAATGAGACTCTGGGATTGCGATGAATGAGCTGAGCTTGGCTGCTGCTTGTTTGTGTTCGACTTATCAGCTCCGTCGTCAGGCTGCAAAAGCGGAACCTGAGCTAGACAACATGTCAAAACGCTCAAAACTTCCAGATTACAAACCCGTCGTCCAAGTGAAACTCAATCATCGCCTGCCTCTATGGTCTGCTGCTATCTGCTATCTATCTACTATCCTATCGACTATCGACTATCGACTCGCTATCGACTATCTACCTGTAAAGTTTTTGCAAATAGATTGCGCATTGCCGCATTTGTTGAAAGCTACTCATGATTACGTTTATGTGTCTGTGTCACGGTGTCTCTCTGTGCGTTTGCTTTTGACTGCTGTTGTCAGCTTGTCAGAAGTCCTAACACTGGCTGGCTGGCCGTCCGCTGGCGTTGGCGCTACGATTCTACTTTTCTACTCAGGCAACCGGCGGTCCGGCGGTGAGTGACAACCGGACCAAATTGTCTGCCTGCTACATCCGAGGATGCCTCCAAAAACACTGGGGGCGCGGCGCAGAACTTGGAAAGCTCCATAAGGACATATCCCAGCTCTTCCGGCGCATAGGACCCAGAAAACATTTCAATGCAGGCGCCAAAGGTGTTCATGTTCCGCACAATGACTTCAGGCTTGCTCATGTCTGGAGACAGGAAATCCGCCTCTCGACTGAAAAAGTCCACCCAAGACTCGAAGATGCGGAAGTGCCGGAGTTTGTTCTTCAGCGCCTTCGCAAACTTGTAAGACTCAGGACCGTACTTCTCCTTGCGCAGCGGGCTCCAACGGCTTGGCGGACGCAGTAGTTCATGCCCCCAAAAACTCAAAAGCCTAAAATTCCAAAAGGTGTTCACAATCGCTCGTTGAGCCTCAGCCCTGCCTAACTGCTAGAGTCGCCGAGTTGCTAGAGTCTACATCAAGGGGCCCGAATCAAGGGGCTTTACAATTAGCAACTGGAATGTGTGTGGAGCGCGGGCCTGCGTGGCACGAGCACAAGTGTCACAGTGACTCAGTCTTAATAAACAAGCGGTCCTTGTATTCGGATGACTGGAGCCATCTGCCAAACTCGTCTCGGACATTCTCCACGTTTCGATTTGTGAAGCCCCGCCGTTCCATGTAGGCTGTCCACGCCTACGGCCAACGCAGCCAACGCCCAGCCAACGCAGGGCCAATGTAGGGGCTTATGTTTGTACAGTGTTTATGAGTCTATGAGTCTATGAGTCAATGAGTGTATGTTTCTGAAGTTTATGGTTCAAGTTCAAGGACTTCAAGGTTCAAGGTGCAGCAGGACGCCGCTGACTGACAAACGAACTGTCACAGACAGCTGGGCCAAGGCCCCTGCATCTTCCACGTGCTGAACCTCCTCCACTTGCTCCAGAAAGCTGATGCGTCCTCCCTCGTGGAACCGGTTGTTCAAGTCGCGCAAGAACCTCAGTTGAAGTGAAACGCCGCGAGGATCAGCTTCAATCAGCTTTGAATTCTGGCTCGGGCCAAGAGTCAAGAGTCAAGAGTCTGAGTTGACGAGTTGACAGTCAGTCAACAGTGAATCAGTGAAGATTCGAGTGAGTCAAGAGTCAAGAATCAAATCAAGAGAGTCAAGAGTCAAGAGTCAAGTCAAGAGTCAAGAGGCCAGTCAAGAGGCTGAGCTGAGGTCGAGCCAACAACGACTCGACAACTCGACAACTCAACGCAAAGCTCACAAGTTCACAAGTCCTCTTGTCGTCAAGTCTTCAAGTCAACAAAGCAGGAATCAACCAACCAGCCAAGCGACACCAGCACGTCGTCAGGAGTCTTGCTTGACAGGACCCGACAGTTGGCCAGGCCAGTCTTGCGGGTGGCCTTTACCTGCGGATTCTGGGGAGCCTCCTTCGAAGCCAGGTAGAAGGCCTGCGACCTAACACCGGGCTGGCGAGCGACGAGCGAGAATATGAGTAACACAGCAACACAGTCACACAGACTGACACTCATAACTTCCATATTTCATGTCATATATAGTAATATAGTAGTAGGCCCTAGTAGGCATTAGAAATACAAACTGAACGCGGCAGTGGTTGGCCAGTGGCCACGACGTAGCACGACAGATTGACAAACTTGTTCAGCATGCCTGAGCCTGACATAACTTAACTCAATCAAAACATAACTGTCATAACTTCATAACCAGAACTTCATAACTCGTGACTCGTGACTCGACTCATAACTTAACTCATAACAGAGACTGAGAGCCGGAGGCCGGAGCAGGCAAACGGCAAACGGCACATGAACGTAATGACTCACCATAAACAACTGATTGGCAAACAATCAAACAAGCACACCAGCCAGCCAACCAAACAAATACAACCAACCAAACAAACAAGCAAACAAACAAGCAAGCAAGCAATCAAGCAAACAAACAAAACAACCGTACCTTAACAACTTAACAACTAGCGACTAACGACTCACGACTGTAACAAGTTGTATAACATTGTATAACCGTCAACCGTCAACAGTTTAACAAGCAGCTGCAATGAGGAGACAGGCAGGCGAGCAGTGAGCAGGCAAGCAGGGAACAAAGAATAGGCAAATTTAGACAGAGCATTTGCATACTACTTACCGCTTATTACCACTTACCAGACTTACCACCACTTACCGACTTCCCACCCGCATACGACGCATGCAGCCGCATTGCATACACAACCGCCGCATATGGTTAAGTTAATCAAGCTAGCTGAAGGCTCACACATCCGAATGCCAAGTGAAGTCTGAATTGCGCCGTGATCCTAGCGCAACCAGTGCCAGCACAACCAGCAAACAAGGTTGAAACAGAACACGCACGCACACACACACACACTGCACAAACACACACTCACACTCACACTGTGTCACACACACACACGCACTCGTGAACCGCGTCCGCGTGAGCATCACTGCCAATGTCGAAGCCAAAGGCCAACGGCCAACGGCCAAAGGCCCTGGCAGCGTGCCGTAGGTGATCGCAAGATACGGCTGCCCAGGGGCACATGGCCTGAGCGACGAAGCGACCGTGGGTCAGGACGGTCAGGTCAGGGCCGGCCCATGTGAGCATGTCTTTGGGGCCTCCCGCATCTTAAGCAAAACCCAAAATACTTGCGAAGTTCAAGGTCCAGGTTGAGTCAAGCTGGAAAGTGCAGCAAAAGGCGTGACAAAGTCTTATCATCCTAACAACCCTTGAACTTGCACCTTTCCTGTCTCCTCTCTTTCTACGCCAGGCTGCTCCACCAACCACGGCTCACCGCGACATCCCTCGAGAATGCCATGGTGGCAAATCGATCGCTTGTAGCGGTCCCGCACCACCACTTGTCGTCGCTGGTTCTTGGGGTGTCGGACCACGTTCTCCGCCCCAGTTTCCGTATACCAGGGAACTGTTCGCCCAGAAGCCACCTAGTGCGGAAGTTTCATCGCCAAAGGAAAAAGACTCAAGACTGGACTTCAAGACTCAATTGAGTTGCTACTCGCTCAAGGGATCAAGGAATCAAGGAACCACAAGTTGCAGTCGTTATTACAGTAGTTACAGTCCGGTTGCAGTTACAGTTAGTGACCAACCAAACCTTCAATTTCCACAACCAACAGTCACACACAACACCGTCAATGGTCGAGTCATGAAATCTGAAACCCGGGAAACTAACCCACCCGTCACCCCGCCCGCCTGATATGTTCGGAAAATTTGGTCTTGAAGTGCTCGGCCAGATAGGTGGCCAAAGCGCTCTTCAAGTGAGCGAGCCCCCCACAAAACATCTTGCGCTTGCCCCAGAAGGTCTCCCCCATGCCTGCTCCTGGCAGGAGATGCCACAGCGCCACCGCTTCCTGCTCCTCCACCTGATCCAGATGTCCAGCTTGAGCCGTCTTTGGTCAACCTTAGTGCGCGGCTGCGCAGGCAAGGAGAGTCAGGCCCGGTACGAGCTACGGTTGCGGGGTCCGGGCTGGGGCTAAAACCAACGGTTGCCAACGGGAAGAGACCGGGAAGAGACCTTAAGTGGAACAACATGTTGTAATAAACGTTGTCAGGTTGTCAAATATGAATCAGCAATGAATCAAAGTCTTTCTGTTTCTGTTGAGCGATGTGAGTTTCTTTGCAAACTCAGTCACTTGGCACACTTGGTTGAGAGTTCAGAATTCAATGTTCCAGCTGCCAACCTTCGAGCGATTCTTCAAACCTTCAAAACTTCAAAACCCAATCTCAGTCACAAGGCCGACAAACAGCTGACACTTGGGCTGACACTGACACTCAGAAACTTGGGGCCCCGCATCACTGCGCCCCCTCCTCAATTGGGAGCCAACTCCAGATTGAAACCTGTCAAAGTGCCAGAGCCAAAATAGCTACGAGCCATCAAGTTGGGTCAGGTAGGATTGCGCTGCACTTCTGCCACTGCATGTTGTTTGCAAACAAAAAACATACAGGACCAACCTTTCAACAGCGGTGTCAAATCGGTGTCAAACGTGTGGCCATTTGGGCATGGCATCATGGCAAGGCAATCGAATGTCCATTGCATTTTTTGTCCATGGTCCAGTTCCATCCCGACCGCGTTGCGCCTCTGAGTCTCCGATTAGATCACGGAGTCCGGTCGAAAGCATTTCTATTGTCACTTGATTCACGCACTATGAATCGTAGCTATGAACTAACCATGGATAACCATGACCCTTCGACTCTTCGACCCTGGGCTCCATGATTCAACGATCTATCATCTAGTAGTCTAGGATCCGTTATCACTGTAATTATGGCAGCGGACTGAGGTCTTAGCCTCGCCTCTCAGCCTTCTATCCAACTTCTACAAACCCCTGGTCCCCCTGGCCTGGTCATGCAAGCATTAGCACGCTGCGGGCGCAAGTTGCTTTGACCACAGCAACTGCGCACTGCTAGCGCAAGTACCCCTGGGCCTTTTGGCGGCCCTTGGCCCCTTGGCCCAGTGGGCCCCAGGAACCCCTTGAGCACGCAGACGCAAAAACAACATATCACAATAAGCGCTGGCTGATACCGTTGATAGTTGATAGTAAGTTGATACTGGTACCTTGAAACTTTGCGTTGAAACTTGATACTTCCATTTACATTGCGCTGCACTGCGACTGCGCGCCTTTGTTAATTCGTTTTGCAGTTTCAATTGATGAATGAGTTGAGTTGTCAGTTGTCATTGACGTGGTCATGAGTCATGATCATCATGATCAGCGATTCATGCCACTGCGAGGCCACACCATTGTTTGGGATTTGAATTCTGCTATGTCAAGCAGAACGGAGCCGCTTAGATACCCGAAACAGAAACGGAGCAATGGCGCTTGACTCTTCAGACCCTGGCTCCACTTGAGTGACTGCATATAGGATTGCAGTTGCAACCGACTGTACATGCATCGCATTGCCCATTTGGCCAATCCTGGAGGTACGGTCACCTCGATCAACGCACTCGCGGGTGGCGTAGCTGCACAGGGGGACACCGCCAGTAAGCCCGGCATAGGCTGGGAACCCTTGAGCAAAGGCTGCTTCAACACTTGTAAGGAAGCGCTTGTGGACGTCTGACCTTAGTTCTTGCGAAGGGCCCCCCCCCCCCAGTATCCAAGAAGGTTCAAGTTGTAGAACTCCAAGAATCCAAGAAGTTGAAGTAAGTTGAAGAATCTAAGTTGAAGAATCTGAAGAATGTCAAACTGTTTCACATCAGAAGCTCAAATGCGCCATACGCAGCCCAAGAAGCCACAACACCCCCGCATTGCGAATGATAGTTCCCATGACTGAATCAGTGCTGGTCGTTTCGCTGAAGGAAGGGTTCTGGTTCAACTGGTACACCAAGCCTGGCTCACGCCGGTATTCCAATAGAAACTCCTTCTCAGTATTTGTGAGGACTCTGAAGAATTCCTTCAACACTGCGTCGGGTGAGGATTCAAGGGCGTGGCTGAAGCTTTCGAAGTCTTGAAACGCACAGTCTCCGGTGTGTGCACGAGCTCGGGATTCTGGCCTCTGCGATGCCCACGTTAGCTCCTCATACATGTCCTTCTCACTGGCGCAGAAGAAAACATCATAATCAGGTCGCCGATGGCCGCATTCAGTTGTCCAAGAGTTCTGGTAGCCCATGAGTGGTGGAGCAGTAAACAGATTTGCAAAGATGTTCCTTGGCTGAAGGGCTGAAGGAATGTTGAATCTTGAACTTGAACTTTGCAGTGGACAGTCTGACAGTGGACAATCGACAGTTGAGGGGAACAGTGGAACAGTGGATGGACAGGACAGTGGAAAGAAGAAGTTAAGAAGTGTACTATACAGCTAAGAAGAAGAAATGCAGAAGTGAACCAGTGAACACAGTGAACACGTTGTTTTGTTTCGCTCAGCAAATCAGCCACAAACATATTCAAACAAAAAAAACACAATTGTTGGTTGAAGTTGGTTGAAGTTCATTGGCTTCACTTCAACTTCACTTCATTTGTCCATTGTCCATCCATTGGTTGCCGGTCGCCGGTCGCCGCATCGCCGGTCAGTCACCCGTGTTTCAATCTGATTCAATTTGACTCAATGATCGTGAGGGTGGGACTCGGGAGTTCCGAGTCGACAAGTTGACAAGTTCACAAGTTTCAAGTAGCCAATGGGCAAATTGTCCACGTGGGTTCCCTTTCCTAATTTCCACCCAGGAATGCATGACTCAGGACTTGCCGAAATGAGTCTAAATCAATTCAACTGATTCAACTAACATCAACACACTCAGACTCAATCCAGCGAAGCTTCCAGGGGCATCTGAACGCGCGGGTTTTGTAGCGGTGTCTGAGAATGCTGTAGCGGCGAACCCTGTGAATTGGCCACCCCAGTGACTGTGCATCCAAAACGTGGGATTCACAATGATAAAGCGACCCAAGCATCATGTGTAAGGCTGCAGTGTCGAAGGATTGCACATTCTCATGGACAATCAATGCCTCCTGCAGCTGCAGTCGTTGGCCGCACCATGCTAGGTATACTACATAGCTCTTTCCGTTCTCCTGAAGACGAAGCCCACGAGCAGAGTAGTCTACGCACGGTGATCCTGCGCAGTGGAGCTCAGCCGTTGCGGCCTGTCCGGCGGGGCCGAGTGGGACGGGCTGAATTGAGGGTCGTGGGTCCAATTGTTCAGCAAGGTTCGTGATGGTTCGTGAACATAGAGACTTAAAAACTTAAACACTTCAAGTCTTAAAGTCACTTAAAGTTTTGCCATCCATCCCGTGTCATAACAACACAACAGGTATGATATAACAATATATATATATATAGCACAGAACTTGTCGCTGGTACACTGGCGTAGTTGACTGGTACCTGGTACACTGGTACACTGGTACAGACTGGTATACTTACACTACACTGGCTACACTGGTACACTGGTACACTGGCACTACTAATCCCTTTGGTCTGGTTTGTTGTAGGTTCAAAAGCCGTGCCTCGCAAACTCTCCCGTGCTTGAGACAGTAGGCTGATCTACCAGTTGATTGGCCAGACTGTACCAGCGGCACAAGCACGGAGTGAACCAGGTTCTGAGCAATCAATGAGTCAAGCCGATTGCGCACTGCCGGCGTGAAGAAATCAAGCATATCCTTGAAAATGTGATCCGGGCCAAACGGATGAAGAGAAAGCTCATGCTGGCTTTTTTCCAGCACTTCCACTGCAAACAAGTTGGGCGGAGCAGGAACTCCAAACTCATGCGCGACCTCCACCTCCACACTGCTGCGTAGCTCACGATGCAGCCCAAGCTCCTTGACAATGCCCCACAAGGTCTGCGCCACAGCAGTTGCCGGTGTGTCCACACCTGAAAAGCAACTGCTCATGCTGGTGTGGGACAGCTTATCCTTCAGCTGAAGCATCACTTCAGCCTTACGATCATCCAAAACCGGACGTGCCTCAGCTGGCACGGCGGGGTCCACAAGACTGTTCAGTGATCGCCTGCATTCCTGATTGATCCGCATCGCTTTGACTCTCGAAAGCTCCCGTGCAAGACCGTGCGCACCATAGCAATTCTTCCCACGCTCGCTGCCCGCATTGGCCGCAAACTTGGAGAACACATGAAGCGCATACGAAGGCCAGTTGAAGAGCCGCTGAAGCATGTTCCACCGCTCGTTCTTCTCTGTGAGAAGATCCTGTGCTATGGCATAATCAGCGGCGGAGCCAACTTCCGAGGTGCAAGGAAACTTGAACTGCTGTGGCTCCAGGTAGTTGAAGTGCAGCGCCGGCCACTGGCTGAGAACCACCTGCCCACTGCAACGCTGCTGCTGTGGCTGTGGCTGTGGCTGCTCTGACTGCTCTGGCAGCTCAGGCTCAGGCAAGCGTCCCAGTTCCAGTTTTGGCTGTTCTGGCTGCTCTCGCTGCTGCTGCTGCTCCTCCTGCTGTTGTTGTTGCTGCTGTGGCTCATGATCAGGTTCCTGCTCACACGTGGCTTGCTGCGGCTTCTCCTGCTCCTGCTGTGGCTGCTCCTGCTCATGTGACTTGCGATCGTGTGACTCAGATTCAGGCGCCAGTGTCGCTGTCTCTGCTGCTGCCGTTTCCGTTCCCTCGCCGTCGCCGCACAACGAGGCAATAAGTTCATTTGCCAAAGACTGAGCAGGTTCTGGCGACGCTGATAGCAATTCTGACACTGGTTCTGGTTCAGCGGGCACTGTCGGCCCAGCGGCTGTTGGTGTTGCAAAGAGCTGCTGATCTTGCTGGCTGAGCGCTGACGCTGATGATGAGGATGAGATTGGGTCTGATGGCGCGGGTGTGGACTCCGACGCGGTGTGTGCAACGGTAACGGCAGCCTTTTCCTCCTCCCTGTTGGCTGGCTCCTCGGACTCCTCGCTGGCAAGACTGACTAAGGGCTCAGGCCCAGGCTCAAGGCCAAGTATTGTTGACAGTGGTTCTTCCTTTGTCTTTGGCTTCTCCGGCTCTGTTGGCTCCTGCTGTGATTGTTGAGCCTGTTGAGCTCGCTGGTCCGCCGGCTGGTGCAGTTGCTGCTGATGATTCGCCTGACGATCATCTGGGTCCGTAGGCACTGAGTCTGATTGTTGTCCCGGCGTCCCTGCGCTTGCTGCTGCTGATGCTGATGCTGACTCTGGCTGAAGCTGACGCTGCGGGTTTGGTGGCTGTTGCGGTTGGTGTTGGTGTGGCTGCGGCTGCTGCAACGTTACAGCATCCAGCGCAGCATCCAGTTCCATGCGCTGGGCGGCTGCGTCAGAGTCACTTGGAGGCTTGTGCAGCTTCTGCTCATGCTGCTCATTCTGCTGCGGTTGCTCCGATTGCTCCTCAGGCTCAGGACCAGTCTCAAGCTGCTCATGTTGCTGCTCATCATCATCACGCTCGGCCAGATCAGTCAGATCAGCCTTTGCAGGCGCTGCTGCACATGAGCTGGGCTGTGTCTCATCTTGCAACCCCTGCGTGGTTGGCAGCTGCTCTGACTGTGGCTGGCTAACGGTGGTGACTGGAGTGGATTTCAGCTTTGACTGTGACTGCAAGGCCTGCGAGGCTACCACCGCCGCGGCTGCGACTTGAAACATATCAAGCTTGCTTTGCTTCGTCGCTACCTGGCGTGCAAGTGACTTGGCAAGGGCTGCAGGAGGTGTCACCCCTGCCGGCTTGCTTGAAGCCGGCTTTTTTGCAGGCGACTTCTTCACAGGTGGCAGCGCTTTGCTCTTCACTGCCGTCTTAGGACACGGCTTTGGAGAGGCTGCCTTCTTTCTTCCCATGGCAGCAGAACAAGGGACCTGTTTGCTCAAAAAGCACAGGCCAAACAAAGGCCTTGAAGCGTGCAAATGGTGGGCTAGGCGCACAAACAACTGTGTACTGGGTCGTTGTGTTAGTTGGACATGTTGGAAGACTATAGGACTATAGGATCATAGGACCTAGGAGTCCCCAGTCACCTCCTTTGACTCACATTATAGTACATGGGTCAATTCCATAGCTTATAGTCCTAAAGTCCATGAACCCATGAATCTATCAACTAACACAAGACACCACACACCTCCCAAACAAGAGGACGACCGTACGAACATGACTCAAGCATGCGAAAACAAATGTTCGGACGGTTAGGTTTCATATAGTCATGATTAATGATTGATTGCGAGTCGCCGGTCACTGCTAATGGGCTAATGGCTATAGTGTCCCTCTCAACCTGTGAGTACTCCGAACAATTGGTAAGTGACTGTCAGTCTGTCAGTGACTGCGCTAGGCCGCGCCGATGCCAACCCACCGCCCTGGTGAACGCCCAGCCCGCCTTGACGCAAAGATGTCGCGATGTTCAAACATGCACCTGGAGGTCGGGCAGCATGGGCCGTGGGCCAGGAAGGGGGGAAGGTTGCTTCTAAAAAGGGCAACTTAGTCATTGTGCTGTATGCGGGCGGGCGGGGGGGAGGGGGCCCCTCCTGAAAGGGGGGGGGGGGGGTGTGGAGGGGGCCCCTCCGGGTGTGGAGGGGGCCCCTCCGGGCAAGGTGTGTGGAGGGCCCAGGGGGGGGAGGGGGGTGTGGAGGGGGGCCCTCCACAAAATTGGGGGTGTGGAGGGGGCCCTCCAAGGGGGCGGGGAGGAAGGAGGGGGAAGGAAGGGGGGTGTCCCTCCAGAGGTGGGGGGGTGTGGAGGGGGGCCCTCCGGGGGGGGGGGGGGTGTGTGGAGGGGGCCTCCCAGGAACAGGAAGGGGTGTGGAGGGGGCCCCTCCAGAGAGGGTGGGGTGTGGAGGGGGCCCCTCCAAAAGGGGGGGGGGGTCGGGGGGTGGGGGCGCCGGGCTGTGAGGGTTTGTTCCACCAGGGACTCTTGAAGTGCAGTAGGGCTGGGCCGGTTTGAGACGATGGGCTGGGGCCAACTTGCAATATTCGTGCTCACGTTTTGTAGGGCAAAGAGGGTGGTACGTCGCTATTACAATGTCATGAGGCATGAAGCATCCCGTAGACTACATTGATATGAGATGTGTGTTGCTACATTGTCTACATTGTCTGAGGTGTTCACGATCCTCATTCTTCATTGCCATTGCATCGCTAGTAGAGGTGACGGTGATTGACCTGAATATTTATTACACGCCCAACGCAGTAGCATCGGCCCATATTCAAATCACAAAACATCACCCGTTGTTCCAGGTCCTAATTGCCTAATTGCAACCCAGCGTTCGCACTGCTTTCACCAGCTTCTACATGCTTCTATTGTATTGCCCGCCCCGTCTCGTTGCAGTCCTTGGAGCATTGGAGCCCGGCCCCCAGCGGCTCTGGTCTAGCCTCAGCAAGTCATGCTGAGTCATGCTGCTTTCACCGGCTTTCACCTAAGATTTCATGTGCCAGTCGCCATGCACCAACTATTTTCCTTTGACTGCCGACTGTCGAACAACAAGAGCGGGCATCCATCAGCCATCCGACCGCAACAGCACTGCCTACCTTCGACGCCGCCATTGCACCCACATGCCCAGCAAGAACGCAGCAACGTTTGTGAACGTTGCAGTCACCGCGCTGCGAACTATTTCCTTCTGCAGGAGGCGCCGCATGTTTGCTAGCTGCACCAAAGCTGCGTCTGCAAAGGCAGCTTCGTCAGCAACTGCATCAGCCAAACTGCAGCATGCTGTCGAGGCAGAACCAGCCTCATCTGCCGCCTCCGCCTCCGCCGACCCTTCAGAACCCTCACCACCCACATCTGCCGCCTCCGAAGCCTCGCCAGCCGCGTCAGTCACGTCAGCCTGCTCGGGCAGCTGCTCAGCAACACCACCGTGCTCATGGTGCTCGCCACGCTCCATTGGCTTGGCTTCTTGGTCAAGCTGATGCATTCATATGCCAAGTGCGTTGCAAACTGCAACCGCTGGTTTGCAATATTGACTACATATTTGACTCTTGACAAAGCACATGCGCAAGAAGTAGCGAATAACAGAGTCTGGCAAGCTGTCGACTGTCGTGCAATGATCCGCGCGGGCCGCAATGAGCCGCAATGAGTCCGCAATGAGCCTACGTCACAATCTGCACTGGACAACCAACTTCCTTACTTACGGACCTTACGGATTGCTTTCAAACAGTTCAACACGGACCGGACCAAGGCGAAGTTCCAAGTGTAAACTACTCCTATTGACTTGGTGACATGTTGTCAGTATAGTATATCCCGGATACCCCGATATCCCCCATGGTCACATGTTTGAAAGCTGCACCGGGACCCGTCAGTCTCTTTTCATACCTGTCATTTCTGTCTCTGTCTCCACCCATTGTGCTGCCAGTTGGGTTGCCCTCGCAAGTTGTCAAGTCAGCCCCGCCCAGCACGGCAGGACTGGGGGAGCTGCCAGAAGAAGCAGTGATGCATTGGGTGCAACACCGCGCGCACCGCCACTTGCCTGCGCTGCTGTTGGAGGACTGCTGACTTCGGGGTTCTGGCTGGGCTGGATGGGGGCCATCATTGATGTTAAGGTACAGGTGAGCCCGGTAGGGCCAACCAACTGCGGCACTCACTCATATGACTCATATGTAAAAGGCTTGGACACATCGACGCTGAAAATGTTCTTTTGTTGGTTGGTTTGCTGGCTTCAGTCAACTCTCAACCTAAAGTGTCAGGCTGTCAGGGGCCGGCCTTGCCTCGAAGCCGTTGCTAGATGTCTGCACTGTCGCGTAGGAGCACACGACCGGGCCCCGGGCCTAGGCAAGCACAAACTCAGCATAAACTAAACAACATGAATGAATCGATGAATAATATTCGAATCCTCTCTGCAAGTTAGCGCAGTATATAATATATACACTGTGTATACACTATACAGTCTATACACACTGAGCATCTTCTGACATGCTGAACTGACTTCTGACCCTACTTACTTAGTACTGGTGGCTAGAGTTAGTTTACTAGACGAAATGTAGACTTGTGGACTTGTAGACTGTAGACTCTAGACTCTAGACTTTCGACTAGACTCCTCCACAACTGGACTCCTAGGATCATTGGATCTAAAACACTAAAACACTAAAACACTGACTCTCTCCTACTCCGAACTCCTAGACTGCTAGTGCTACTGATACTACTAGACACTGGACACTTGATTCACTTGATCATCATGCTGTGAATCATGCTGCATGTTAATGACAAACAGACTCAGCTCAAGACAAGACAAGTTCAAGACAAGTGACAATGACAAACAACCCACTCACTCGCTGTCACTGACTCACTTGCTCAATCGCCAATGGCCACTGCATCGCTGGATAGTCAGGATAGTCCCTCTCACCTCTCCCTCCCTCCTCCGTCCCTCCTCCCTCCCGCTCCCTCCCTGCACACACTCACTGACTCACTGACTCACTGACTCACTGACTCACTGACTCACTGACTCACTGACTCACTGACTCACTGACTGACTCACTGACTCACTCACTGACTCCTGACTCGCACTGACTCACTAAATACTCACTGACTCACTGACTACTGACTCACTGACTGACTGACTGACTGACTGACTGACTGACTGACTGACTGACTGACTGACTCACTCACTCACTCACTCACTCACTCACTCACTCACTCACTCACTCACTCACTCACTCACTCACTCACTCACTCACTCACTCACTCACTCACTCACTCACTCACTCACTCACTCACTCACTCACTCACTCACTCACTCACTCACTCACTCACTCACTCACTCACTCACTCACTCACTCACTCACTCTGACTCGCTCGCTCGCTCGCTCACTCACTCACTCACTCACTCATACCCACCCACTACCCGACTACCCACCCACTCACTCACTCACAAACTCACTCATACCCACCCACTACCCGACTACCCACCCACTGACTCCCCCACCACTACCTGACTGACTCTCACTGACTCACGGTCTTACTGAGTCTTACTGAGTCTTACTGAGTATACTGACTGCTGACTCACTGACTCACTCCCTCACTCGTATGTTCACTCAACTCGATGGATTTTTCTCACCGCGTCTCCTTGCCCAGACCAGCATGTCACGCTGCCACATGCGCCAACCGGGTCTAGCAGTCTTACGGCTTACGGTCCGGTCTAATTAGACAATTGTGACAATTGAGTCATAGTCAAAGCAAAGGGTCAATGAGTCAATGCGGCAATGCGTCACACAATGTTTACGTCGGTCAACAACCTCGCCAACGTGTCTTGCGCCTGTAGCCGCCCAAAGCTTCACGCAGCAGCTTCCCTCTAAAAAATGAAGCTCTGGCAGACAAGGAATCGCCGAGCGCTGAGACTGAGGCACTGAGACCCCGACCCGGTCCCGAAATTGCACTCAGCGCTCGAAGAGCAGCGACACAAAGAGCACAAAGGGGGGGCGACGCCGACCTGCACCGAAACTGCAAAACGTTTCAGTGTAATCAGACAGTGTAATCACTAATCAGAACCATACTCACGCCTGGCCCTGGCTTGGTACGGTATTGGGCCTGGGCATGTGCCACATGTTCATCAAAATCAAAGTTGCATCTCAACTTCTGAACTTCGCACTTCATCCGAGCAAACAGCGCCCCTCACAAAGTCAGCCGATGACTCAACCGACGTTCAACTGTTTGAGGCTTGCCAGGCTCCTCTTAAGAACTTGCTTCCAATGACTCTGCGGCCCTGCTGCTCCAGTCTAGCTCTCCTTCTTTCTACACCTCTGCATTGCTGCGTCACAACTTACACAGCACGCAACTTGCAGATTCCAGGCGCAAATGTGTCTGCCCTTGCCGCAGTCACAATCACCACAACAACTCAAACCCCGAAGCCAAGTCAAGTCAAGCGCCCGCTGTTCGTTGCTAGTTGCTACTCACACAAACTCGCATGTCTCTGAGTCAGTCACTGTCACTCTCAGCTATCACGGCCAGCCCGTTCAGTCAAATATCTCAATGACTCAACAGCATCAACTCAACTGCCAGAGAGTGACAGCCACAGCTGTAGCAGAGCTGTACCAAGAACAACATCCAGCACCGCAACCGGACACACACACACAACTAACATTCCGTTTGCTTTGAACTCAAAAAATGCGAATGAGTGAACGCAGGACTCCAAGTCATCCGCAGGACACACAGAAAGGTAGACTACTAGTACACTTAGTAGACTCCGCTCAACAACAACAACACCAACAACAACATGAATCTGAATCAATCATCACCCACCACCACCACCAACACAACAACACAAGTTCGGAACTCGCCAGCCTTGAGCTCGAAGAGGTGGCAGCAGTAGTAGCCGTAGCCGTAGCTGTGGCTGCAGCTGCAGCATCCCCGACAGGCCCGACAGGCATATCAGGCGGAATGGAGAGTGGTGCAATGAGAGGTTGCAAAATCCACGCAGGAAGTGATAAGAAAGCTTCTGCGTGTTCTGTCAACGCTGTCTTGACCCTTTCACTTTGCGCAACATGAGATGTGAGCAGGGCGCTGCAAGAAGGGTGCCAGCAAAGCGCACACAGGCTGCACAAAGTAGAGACAACAGTTCTGGATGACTTGTTGCACACTCTACACTTCATGTGACTGGCCGTGATCCGGAACGCTTTGGGTAGTAGCTGCTGGTCATCGCCTGGCTCCTGTTGGCTGTTGGCATACATCGGCCAAATCGGCGCAGAGGCAACATTACGGCAACATTGACCACTACCACAATCAGGACTGGACCAAGCCTAGATGCAAATTGTTGACTCATTAGACTCATTAGAGTCATTAGACTCATTAGCCCATTAGCTCATTGCTCTCAAGGCGCAGTAGCGCGGTGGACACCGGTTCGACGTGCTGCACACAAGTGGACTCCGTGTGTAAAGCTGTAAAGTCTAAACACACCCATCCAATGATCACTGTCCACATCAGCCACAACTTACAACTAACAACAACACCATCAGCCAGCAAAACAACCGCAACAACACAACACAACACACAACAGTCACCATGGCCGCTGGCCTAACAGTGCCGGACAGCCCGGGCCGTAACTCACAATCGCGGCGGCAAACGCAACCAAAAGTCAGTAACTCAGTAACTGGGTCAGTAAGCACAGCAGCGGCAACAACAACTACAGTAGCAGCAGCAGCAGCAACAACAACAACAACAAGTAACAACGACAACAACAACAACAACAACAACAACAACAACAACAACAACAACAACAACAACTACAACTACAACTACAACCACAACAACAACCAACAAGAAACAATAACCAACAACAACCAACAAGCAACAACAAACAACAAACAACAAACACCAAACAAACAAACAAACAAACAAACAAACAAAAACAAACAAAAATCAAACAAACACCAAACAACCAACAAACAAACAACAAACAACCAACCAACCAAACAAACAAACAAACAACCAAACAACCAAACAACCAAACCAAACAACCAAACAACCAAACAACCAAACAACTAAACCAAACAACCAAACAACCAAACAACCAAACAACCCAACAACAACAACAACACCACCACACCACCACCACCACCACCACCACCACCACCACCACCAACAACAACAACAACAATAACAACAACAACAACAACAACAACAGACAACTAACAACTAACAAGGACCAACAAGTAACAACATGTAACAACAACACATCAACAAACCGCCAGTAGCAGCATCAACAAGAGTACCTACCGCTGCTACCACCAACAACAACAACAACAACTAACCACAGCAACAGCAGCAACGACTCAGCAACGACTTAGCAACGACATCAGCAACAACATGTAACAACAAAGGAGGCCAACCCCGCCCGCCAGGTCCTTGTTGAGATGGGCCGAAATCAGCTTGCACATGCGCAGGAAACGAATCACA